GGGGGGCTGAGAGAGGCAGGAGAGGAGCAGTGTATACAGTGACTGGCTGTCCCTATATGTCAGTGCCGGTTTTTAAATGTAATTAACAGTTTGTTTTTTTTCTTCGCTTAGCTGTCACTTTCCCCAAAGCTAAAAGAAAAAGTTTCCTTTTAGCTTCTTTCCGGAGATAAAAGAAACAAAGTTTCCTTTAGCTCCAGGGAAAGTGACAGCTAATTCTGTGAGCTATAGTGAAGGAAAAAAAAAAAAGCCACAATTGCATTTAAAAACCAGGCATCGACATATAGTGACTGCTCCTCTCCTTGCACACACTACCCCCTACCCCTTACAAAGAGGACCTGCCACTCATATGCTATCACATTTCGGTTTCAGTTAGGTTTTCGGCCACATGCATTCTGAATTTTTGGTATCAGCACCAAAATTTTAATTTCGGTGCACCACTAATTCATACATACACATACTAGGGCCAATTTGGACAGGATCCAATTAACCTACCAGCATGTCTTTGGAGTGTGGGAGGAAACCAGAGCACCCAGAGGAAACCCACACAGGCACAGGGAGAACATGCAAACTCCAGGCAGGTAGTGCCATGGTTGGGATTTGAACGAACGATCCTAGTACTGCAAAGCAAAAGTGCTAACCATTTAGCCACTGTGCTGCCCTGATCAGAGCTATCAGTTTGTTCAGCAGCTTCTGCTGAACAATTCTGCCATACGTTCATGGTCACTGAGCTTATATAGCAAGGTGAACATGAGCTTATATAGCAGAGCAGGAATGCAGGTCCGTACGGCGTACGGACCTAGCCAGCTAGAAGGTCTGTATGCCATATGGACATGGCAGCAAAAGGGTTAAAGGATAGGTTCACCTTTGAAAAAAAATAAATAAATGTTAGTGTTGCACCGAAATGAAAATTCTGGACCGAAATTGAAAATTCAGGATATGCACTTGGCCAAAAACGGAAACCGAAGGACAGTTTTTTAAAATAATATATATATATATTTTATATATAAAAAAATTGTATTATATTCAACTTTTATTTAATATGAATTTAAAAATACAATGAAGTAATGTAATAACCTTTATTAAAAGGAATACAAAAATTGGACAAAAAATAAAATGAAATAAATATAAAATTATTCGGCCGTTATCTGCACTTTTTTTTTTCTCTATTGGCCGATATATTGGTGCATCACTAATATCTGCACATCTTTTTGCAGGTAAACACATGCTCATTTATTATTTCAGCCTGTAAGGCATTGCATGCTTTGCACGTGGTTGTGGGGCACTTGCAGAGTGGCCCCATTCACTTTAACCACTTGCCTACCAGGCACTTATACCCCCTTCCTGCCCAGGCCAATTTTCAGCTTTCAGTGCTGTCACACTTTGAATGACAACTGCACAGCCATGTAACATTGTACTCATGACATTTTTATCATTTTTTTGAGAGTGCTTTCTTTTGGTGGTATTTAATCACCTCTGGGTTTTTATTTTTTGCAGAATAAACCAAAAACAACTGAATATTTTGAAGAAAAAAAAAAAAAAAAAAAAAAAACCTTTCTTCTTAGTTTCTGTTGTAAAATTTTGTAAATGGGTGATTTTTCTCCTCCACTGATGTGTGCCAATGAGGCTGCAGTGATGGGCACTGAGGAGGCACTGGTAGGTGGCACTGATAGGGTAGCACTCATATGGCACTGATAGGCGGCACTGGCAGGTGGCATTGATGGGGCTACACTGACCATCAGTGCCCTGATGATCAGTGTACATGTCCCCTCTGAATAATGCCAATTACCGGCTCTCCTCTCCTCACGAGCTGTCAGCGTGACAGCTTGTGAAGAGAGGAATGCCAATAACCAGCATTTCCTTATTTACGTGTGATCAGCTGTGATTGGACACAGCTGATCACATGACAGAGCCAAGTCATTGGCTCTTTCCGTTGATCGGTGATCCGCTGTGTCCCAGGGACACAGTGCACCACCAATCAGCGCGCACACGTGCGGGGTAAGAGTGGGAGGACGTCATACGAGTATTAAAACCGCACCACAATACCATTAAAATGAAGTTTAATGGTATTAACGCTCCGCAAACGCCTCACAAATGCTCTGCAAACGCCTGCCAGGCGTTTGAGAAGCATCACCATGGACTTGAATGGGAGCCTTCAACTCCTCCTGACTGGACGTGAGGCGTCAGTTTTGCCACGATGCGATGCTAACGCTTCAGTGTGAACAGCACTGTCTGCTGCCATATGCAGAATTTTCATAGGAGTTTGAGAAGTGTTAAAAACACTTCCCAAACGCCTGCTGACAAAGCTAGTGTGAACGTAGCCTTAGTGTGGTTTGAACTGCATGCAATCCTCATAACATGTGAAATAGCATTACTTTATATGGTGCCTGTTCACATATATCTGGTGCACTGGAGGTGCAGATTCAGATTTCTGAGCAGTGCAGTTCAGTTCAGGTGCGGATTACAGGCTATTGACTTCTATGGGAACCATTTGTAAACCGCATATGCGTGAACAGGATACAATCCTGAACCTGACCTGAACCACTGAACAACTGCTGTGTCAATTAACTGTGAAACTTGAGCTTCAATCCACACCACACAGGTGTGAATCAGAATTTAGCGAATTGACCTCTTATACACACTAACAAATTGAAGCCAACCCTCAGCTTACACTCTATAATACGTTACAGCAAAAAATGTTTTTTCCTTTTGGATAAAGGTTTTGCATAAATCAATGAAAGCAGATCAACCTAACTGCTTGCCCACCGCCCTATAGCAGAAATATTGCTACAAGGCGGCAGGGCTGCGCAAAATCGTGTGTGTGTGTGTGTGTGTGTGTGTGTGTACACGATTTGCATTTCTGAGTAGGGAGCGCTCATGCATGACGCCTTTGGCGCTAAGGATGTCAATCACTGGGGAAAGTTGACAGGGTAGAGACCTGTGTGTAAATAACACAGGCCTCTCTCCTGTCAGCATGAAACAGCATGTCTCCCTAGTAAACACACACACCACACAGTTATCCCTTTGATCGCCCCAGATGTTAACCCCTCCCTGTCATCATTAGTACAGTGTCAGTGCTTTTTATTAACACTGATCACTGTATTAGTGTCGCTGGGGATGTCATTGGCAGTCAGTTCCCCCCCAATGTCACAATGCCCGGTTAAGTGGTAAAAGCGGAGTTCCACCCAAAAGGGGACGTTCCACTTTAAAGATTGGTCCCCCCCTGTTCCCTATTAAGGATTGGCACCTTTGGGGAGTGGGGGAACGGGTACCCGAATTTGACAGGTACCCACTTCCGCTGCGATCAGAAATGGAAGTTGTCCTTCCCTCCCTGAAGTCTTGTGGGACACGTGACAGGTCCCAGAAGACAACAGGGCCATTGAGGAAGCGCAGTGCTACTCGCACATGCGCAGCGGGCACCCGGCTGTGAAGCAGAAAGCAGTCACAGCCGGGTGCCCACACTGAAGATGCCAGTGCCTGGAATACAGGACGGATGGTGAAACGGGCTGCGGTGGGGGCAACGCGAGATCGTGGGACAGGTGAATGGCTGTTTTTTTTAAAAATCAGCAGCTACAGTTTTTGTAGCTGCTGACTTATTTTTTTACAGAGTGAGTGGAACTCCACTTTAAAGTGACACAGCACCATATCGCAATAAATGGCTTGGTCAAGGGGAAGGGGGGGGGGGGGGGGGGTAAATCCTCTGGAAGGGAAGTGGTTAATCACCCCTACCAGTGTTAAGTGGTTTATATTATCCATGTAAACTAATACATTGTGCTGGAGATCTTGGGATTTGAAAAAAAAACAGACTTATTCGCTGGATCACCAGATGAAAATAGATGAAAGCCTAAAAAGGAAAACTAAGGGCTCGTTCACACTTGGCTGTTTTACCAAACGCCCCTATAGCGTTTGGCAAGCGTTGGTCTGTGGTTTGCATAGCGTTTTTTAATGCTCAGCAAACACGCCGCATGCGCGGTTTAGCGGAGGTTGCCGAGCGGTAAAAACACCTATAATGCAGTTTGAATGGTGTTACCGATCCGCAAACGCCCCGCAACTGCGTCACAACTGCACCGCAAACGCCGGCCGGGCGTTTGCGGAGCGGCACCATAGAATAGGAGGCTTCAATGCTTCCTGACTCAACCAGAGGTGTCCGTTTTGCCGCGACGCAAGCGCTCCCGTTAGAACAGCACCATGTGCTGTAATGTGCAGAATTGGCAGAGGCGTTTGGGAAGTGGTAAAAACGCTTCCCAAACGCCTCTCTGCCCGCCTGCACACAACGCTAGTGTGAACGTAGCCTAATATAGCCATCACGTCTAAGAATGTGTAAACTGAAATACACCACGTTTGCTTTTGGGTTTGATGCCACTTTCAGCACACTTTTTTTTTTTCTAAAATAAGGAACACGATTTTGGCATTCTGGTACAGTTGGTAAACAATTGCTAAGAAAAAAAAAAAAAAAAAAAAAGAATTGGCCGAGGGTGTGTGCAGCAGACTTGTAGAAGACACTGCACACCCCAAAGTGAAAGGAAAGGTGTGCAGGTGGCAGCCCCCATCTGTCAGGGACAGAGCCTGCCATCGGATGTGATCTGCTGGTATAGAGAAGTATGTTGTGATTGCACAACCTGGGATTACATGTGTCATTGTTCCAGCCCCCACTCCCTCCTGGCCAGCACTTCTCTATGGGAAAGTTTGTCTGCAGCCTGCGGGACTCGCACAGTTGCAATGACAGGCAGCGATAGAAGTTTCTCCTGAAGAATGCATCCCCGGTGCGGTGCAGAGAGCAGTGCACGGTCCGCTCCTAATCCCCGGTAATGCAGGGGAGAGGTGCTAGTGCTGGCTCAGGGCACGTAGGCCGCACACCGCTGCAGGGAGTTGGGGAAGAAGGACATGCACGGGGAGCAATGACCCGCACCGGCGCCCCCAGGCCACACATGCAGCATGCTCACTCTGCACACCCGCCGAGCAGCGCCGTGCCCCCCGCATACACCTCTCACCCCCCGACTCACCACACCGAGCCGTAAGCCCCGGAGCCCACGGGACTCAGATTCTGGTATCTCTCGGGCACCTCCCACAGGGTCTTATTCAGCTCCTGCCGGTAAAATCCCGGGGGCGTGTTGGAGGACATTGCCGCTGCAAGCCCCGGCTCTCACGAACACTCAGACCAAGTGCTGAACAACTCCGCAAGCTTCAGTCCTCCCCGGTAGCCAGTCCAGGGCACTCACTACCCGATCCCGCGAGACTCCAGGCGCGCTCCCAGCTCAGCGCGCGCCCATTGCGCAACCTCCAGGTTACTGCTGTGCGCATGTGCAGTACGAAGTTGTGGCGGTGATTCACCGTGCGGGTTTTTTTTTTTTTTTCTCTGGCAGCATTTTAGAAACGTAATGACCGCGCACGGGGTCACCTGACTCACTTCAGGCAAGAGGTGGTGGCGCCTGGTTTGGATTAATGACCAGAAACTATCACCCAGTGACTTGGTGGAGTGAGATAACTCGGGTGGCGCCTATCATAAATACATTTCTATCAGTCTGCAATGTATGTACTGAAGGGAGGCTGCGAGAGGTAACGTGCAGGTGTAGGGAGGACAGGTCAGATACTGAGGCCGTGTCTAATACCCACTTGGCCTGCTGGGGATTTACCCCCCTTCCTGACTAGGCCATTCTTTGTGTTACGGCAACTGACAATTGTGCAGTCATGCAACGCTGCACCCAAATGAAATTCACATCCTTTTTTTTCCCCACAAATTGAGCTTTCTTTTGGTGGTATTTGATCACCCGTGTGGTTTTTATTTTTTGCGCTATATAGTAAAAAGCAAAACTTTTGAGAAAAAAAACAATATTTTTGACTTCTTGCTATTAATAACCACTTGCCTACCGAGCACTTACAGATGACATTCGAAAAATTAGAATATTGTGCAAAAGTTTATTTCAGTAATGCAACTTAAAAGGTGAAACTAATATATGAGATAGACTCATTACATGCAAAGCAAGATAGTTCAAGCCGTGATTTGTCATAATTGTGATGATTATGGCTTACAGCTCATGAAAACCCCAAATCCACAATCTCAGAAAATGAGAATATTGTGAAAAGGTGCAATATTCTCGGCTCAAAGTGTCCCACTCTAATCAGCTGATTAAGCCATAACATCTGAAAAGGGTTCCTGAGCCTTTAAATGGTCTCTCAGTCTGGTTCAGTAGGAATCACAATCATAGGAAAGACTACTGTCCTGACAGTTGTGCAGAAAACCATTATTGACACCCTCCATAAGGAGGGAAAGCCTCAAAAGGTAATTGCAAAAGAAGTTGCATGTTCCCAAAGTGATGTAACAAAGCACATTAATACAAAGTTATGAGGAAGGGAAAAGTGTGGAAGAAAAAGGTGCACAAGCAGCAGGGATGACTGCAGCCTGGAGAGGATTGTCAGGAAAAGGCCATTCAAAAGTGTTGGGGACTTTCACAAGGAGTGGACTGAGGCTGGAGTCAGTGCATCAAGAGCCACCACACACACAGACGGATCCTGGACATGGGCTTCAAATGTATTCCTCTTGTCAAGCCGCTCCAGAATAAACAACGTCTGAAGCGTCTTACCTGGGCTAAAGAAAAACAGACCTGGTTTTTTGCTCAATGGTCCAAAGTCCTCTTTTCTGATGAGAGCAACTTTTGCATCTCATTTGGAAACCAAGGACCCAGAGTATGGAGGAAGAATGGAGAGGCACACACTGCAAGATGCTTGGAGTCCAGTGAGAAGTTTCCACAGTCTGTGTTGATTTGGGGAGCCATGTCATCTGCTGGTGTTGGTCCACTGTGCTTCATTAAGTCCAGGGTCAACTCAGCCGTCTACCAGGAGATTTTGGAGCACTTCATGCTTCCTTCCGCAGACGAGCTTTATGGGGATGCTGACTTCATTTTCCAGCAGGACGTGGCATCTGCCCACACTGCCAAAAGCACCAAAACCTGGTTCAATGACCGTGGGGGATTACTGTGCTTGATTGGCCAGCAAACTCGCCTGACCTGAACCCCATAGACAATCTATTGGGCATTGCCAAGAGAAAGATAAGAGACATGAGACCGAACAATGCAGAAGAGCTGAAGGCCGCTATTGAAGCATCCTGGTCTTCCATAACACCTCAGCAGTGCCACAGGCTGATAGCTTCCATGCCACGCCGCATTGAGGCAGTAATTGCTGCAAAAGGGGCCCAAACCAAGTACTGAGTACATATGCATGCTTATACTTTTCAGAGGTCCGATATTGTTCTATGTACAATCCTTGTTTTATTGATTGCATGTAATATTCTAATTTTCTGAGATTGTGGATTTGGGGTTTTCATGAGCTGTAAGCCATAATCATCACAATTATGACAAATCACGGCTTGAACTATCTTGCTTTGCATGTAATGAGTCTCTCTCATATATTAGTTTCACTTTTAAGTTGCATTACTGAAATAAATGAACTTTTGCACGATATTCTAATTTTTCGAGTTTCACCTGTATACCCCCTTCCTGCCCAGGCCAATTTTCAGCTTTCAGTACTGTCACACTTTGAATGACAATTGCGTGGTCATGCAACACTGTACCCATATGAAATGTTGTATCATGTTTTCCACACAAATAGAGCTTTCTTTTGGTGGTATTTACTCATCGCTGGGAGTTTTTATTTTTTGCGTTATAAACCCTAAAAAAAAAGTTTTTCTTTGTTTCTCTTATAAAATTTTATAATTTTTCTCTTTCACTGATGTGCATTGATGAGGCTGCACTGATGGGCACTGATATGCAACAATGATGGTAAACTCCAAGGAGCAGGGCCCTCCTATCCCTCTTGTATTGTTGCTGTATTGTCTCCCATTATATTGTAAAGCGCTGAGCAAACTGTTGGAGCTATATAAATCCTGTATAATAATGATGGGCACTGACTGGCAGCACTGATGGGTGGCACTGCTGGGCACAGGTGGGTGGCACTACTAGGCACTGTTGGGAACAGGTGGGCATCACTGGTGGGAGGCACTGCTGGGCATTGATCATCAGGGCACTGATCATCAGTGCCAATCCGTCCTCTGACAATTGCCGGTTATTGGCAGTACTTTCCTCACGCTATGACAGTATGAGGAAAGTGCAGCCGATAACCGGAAACTGCATTTACTGGTGATCGGCTGTGTCATTGGACACAGCTGATCACATGGTAAAAGGCCTCTATGACTGGCCATTTACCACATCACGTGATCAGCTGTGGCCAAAGGGCACGTTCTGGGAGGACATCATATGATGCCCTCCCAGGACTGGACAACCGCGCTGTAGCTGACATTTAGCTATAGTGTGGTTGACAAGTGGTTAAACATGTCCGGTAAAAAAAAATTGTAAAAATCAAATTTCATCATAAATTTAGGCCCAAATATATGCTGCTACATGTCTTTGCTAAAAAAATCCCAATAAGTGTAAATGAATTGGTTTACGTGAAAATTATAGCATTTACAAATGGCAGTATAGATACTGGGATTTTTTTTTTACTAATAATGGCGGCGATCAGCGACTTATAGCAGGACTGCGGCAGGCATTCTGACACTGGGGGGAACTGACTTGGTGTCACTGACATCCCCAGTGATACCAATACAGTGATCAGTGCTAAAAAAAAAACACTGACACTGGGCAAGAAGGGATTAACATGAGGGGCGATCAAAGGGTTAACTGTGTGCTGGGAGTGTTTTACTGGGGGGGCGGTGTGTTGGTGCTTCACTGTAAGGACACTGCTCTGGATGGCTGTGCTGTGCAGTGTGCCCGAGCCGACAGGGAAGAGGACTGCTAGTAAACAAAGCAGCCTTCCTCCCCATTGGAGATCCTTGGTAATCACTGGGGCGCCGGCGGGTAATCACCGGATGGGACCAGATGATTGACGTCCGCGACTGGCGGTACGCCCCCTACCCGGACCTGTAAAATCACATATATATGTGATTTTGCACACCCCTGCCACCCTGTAGCAGTATATCTGCTATAGGGCGGTGGGGATGTGGATACTATACCCTGTCACTGTACTAATCATACTGGCTGAGAAGGGGTTAACATCCAGGTTTTAAATGTGTGCCTAAGTATGTGTAAAGTGTGCTGCTTTTACTACTAGATCTGTTTGTTACGCATCTCTGCTTTGCTTTGATAACTGACAAATCTCTCCACAAATCTCTACCAACACAGAGCTCTGGGCTGTAATTGCATACAGCCAATCAGCAAGTCCCAGCCATGAATCCTTGGGCCGGACTCGCTGACAGGCTCCCACTGTGTGCAATCGCATGGGGCGCGTGCCCTAAACCAGGTAGTAGGTGTGACGTACCAGTACGCCGCTTTGCCTACAGCAGCCACTCGCTCGGAGTACATTGCGGATGGGTGGTCGCCAAGTGGTTGAAGTGATACTAAAGCTAAATATGGTGGCTCACACTCGTGCATTACTACACCATAAGCAGTGATAATAATAAATAAATGAAAGAAGGGAGAGATTGCGGCAACCACGCACCAAGTGTATTCTCACACTCCAAAAATGTTTTTCTAAAATTACATGTAGTGCGCTAACTCCACATCAAAAGTATATAAAACTCAAGTAAACAATAAGCATCAGTCCCCAATAAATCAACTCTGAAACAGTAGTGATCCAATCCCAGATTCAAAATGTCCTAATATTGTGCTGTCATCCACTTTCCGAAACGTGCTTGTATTAAGGACACACTCCCTGCTCACCCTTCACGCCGATGTAACACAAATATGCGGCCTCAGAGAACTGGGCTTTTTTTTTCGGGGGGGCGCATATTTGCATACCTGTCTTTGTGCTGGGAGCGCACCGCACACCGCGCTCCCAGCACAAAGACCGGGGTGCCACTGAGAGCCCCGAGTCCCATTCTAACAATCAGGACCTGGGACTCCCGATTCTGGGTCACATGATCACTGTGATAGCCTCTGATTGGCTATCACAGTGATCAGTCACTGTGAAGCCCGCCCCCCCTTTGGTTCTTTTTGCTCTCTGATCATCCACTGCTATCCTTTAATGGCTATTTCCTTGGTACTGGCACCTTCCCTGAGGAAGTCATGTGACCAGTGATGCACCGCGTCAGGCAGAGCCTAGTGACATCACTTCCAGTGTCGCACAAACTGG